CGTGACTGCGGAAATTAAGTGTATTGCAAAGTTGTATTGAGAAAGAATAAACTAGTTTTATTTAAGAAAGGACTTGTATCGCTAAAATGTATATATACATTTTCTATTCAAATTCAAGAAATAAGTACAATACACTCAATACAGAAAATAGCAAATTATACCATAAAAATTATATATTATCTTATAAAAGAAAAGTAAACACCAGGATTACTCATGTGTGGATAATAATTAAATCATATTAAATATTATTTTGATTAATTGATATTTTCTTCACCAGATTGTATGCAATTTAAACCTACTTTAAGATGTGATAGTTGTTTAATACACATTTTTGAACTCATACATTTTTATATTTATATGTATTAAGCCTATATATATATAGACTTTCTGGTTCCTTTACATGAGTTATCCATTTGTTTAATACTTACTATTTATATTTTTGCTACTAAATAGTAATCTTATTTTATTTAGAATATTACTATATCACTAGTAGAGATTGGCTAAACATTTGCGGTTAAATTAGTATCTTTATTACAACAGTACTTCTTTAAATACAGAATTTCTAGAATGATAATAATAATAAGATTCCAATCGCAGACACCGAAATCTATAACTCCACGAGTTTTCGTCCTAACATTAGTTAAGTCATTTTAAAGTAGGTCTATATTCGGTAAAGAGATAAATTAACACTGTGCACGTTTTTTGCTTTAGTTTGTACTTAATACTATCAATAAATAAACTTATAATGTTATTCTATGACCTAACGTTAGACCTTTTAATATACTTTGGTAAGCGTTTAATATGTGGTACAAAATGTCTACGAAAGTATATTGTTGCGTCAGCGAGGTCACGTGACTAGTATCACGCCACGTCTTTCTAGAAATATCCTGTTCCTTCGTGAATTGTCGGGAGATTACTAGATTGTGGTAGTCTGGTGTATATAAGATGGTCACAACGTGATGGAACAGTGTGTAAGTAATGAGTAATTGAACTGCAGTCAGAGAGTGTGTAATTGAACGGAGTATTGTCGAGCTCGTGAGACGTGAGTTATAGCGTTTGTTACAGAGCGACTGTTGAAATTAAGTGTATCGTAAAGTTGTATTCGGAAAGAATAAACCAGTTTTATTTAAGAAAGGACTTGTGTCGCTAAAGTTTCGTCGGAACGAAGTTACGGAAAATTAACTAACGACTGGAGGCGTAACAATATTTACATCCGCCCTTTGTTTACTTCCGATGAAACGCACATTTAGATAGTAAGGTGCACGCGCATTTTTAGGACAGACAAAAAAACTTAGTATTATTAAAACAGAGTTTGGGGATTGTTGCAAGTAACTTTTTTCTAAATTTGTTCGTATTTACTTTAGGAAGTTTTAAATGCTCATGTCTTTTAGTTTTTATTTGATATTTTGACAATTTTTGAAATCTAGAATGATGTATACGCATTTCAGAATTAATTTTCATTTAAATATAATAAGGTAGTTACTGTTATTTATTATAATATATTAAAAACACGGTAATACAAAAAATATCTTTAATTACGGACGTTTCAAAATTGCTTCAAATTCCATCATCAGCGTTGAATCCTCAAAAAGTTAGTTCACAATATTCTAACTACAGAAAACAACACTAACTATTAAGCAAGTAGTTTTCGTATTGAATCGTAAGTTTAGTAAAACATTTATGTCGAAGGTACGATGAAACGTGTGGCATATACATGTTCAATAACATTGTTAAGAGAAAACATTACAAAAAGGCTTAGATATAAATATCGCACCTTTAAAGCAACAACAATGATAATATTGTTACGTCTCCGTTCGTTAGTTAATTTTCCGTAAATTTGTTCCGACGAAACTTTAGCGACACAAGTCCTTTCTTAAGTAAAACTGGTTTATTCTTTCTGAATATAACTTTGCGATACTCTTAATTTCAACAGTCGCGCTATAACAAACGTCTCACGTGCTCGAGTTCAATTACACACTCTCTGACTGCGGGTCAATTGCTCATTCACTGTTTTCGGTCACGTTGTGACCGTCTTATATATATATACCAGACTACCCCCCCAATCTAGTAGTCTCCCGATAATTCATGAAGGTTCGAGAAGGACGTGACGTGATACTAGTCACGTGACCTCGCTGACGCAACAATATTCAAATAAAATATTGTTACA